CAAGGTACTGTTTGGTTGCCAGCAAGCAAATGGTTGGGATATTTCTAACAGTATGGGTGAAGAGTGATCTTAGAGATGACGTTCGCAACTTGAAAGTGTCATGTGTTGGCAGAGGATTGATGGGTTATCTCGGAAACAAGGTATATGTTTTCCTATTAAACTCTTTGTCTTGATAGCTTTTGTTGAACTAGAAATAAGGACGCATTCTCATTTCTTTGGTTTTGCAGGGTTCCATATCTATTAGCATGTCTTTGCATCAAACCAGCTTTTGCTTCGTCTGTAGTCATTTAACTTCGGGGCAAAAGGAGGGCGATGAGCTGAGAAGAAACTCTGATGTTATGGGGATCCTCAGAAAGACAAAATTTCCCAGGGTTCATGGAACAGAATATGATAATTCTCCCCAAACGATTCTAGAGCACGAGTTAGCCTTTATACATTACATTTTTTACTGTATTAATGCTTGTCAGATTAATACCATAACTTTTGTATTGACTAAGTTTTGGATATCTCTGCACAGTCGTGTTATATGGCTTGGGGATTTGAATTATCGAATTGCTTTGTCCTACCGATCTGCAAAGGCTCTGGTTGAGATGCATAATTGGAAGTCGCTGTTAGAGAATGACCAGGCATGGTCTTTTCCTTTGTAATTGATCCTATATATGTATGTTCATTTCTCATGGAGCTTTGCATGGAAGCTGAAACTTTGATGGTATTCCAGCTTCGGATAGAGCAGAGTCATGGCCGTGTTTTCAAGGGATGGAATGAAGGAAAAATATGTTTCCCTCCTACATACAAGTACTCAAATAATTCAGATAGATATGCAGGGGAGAATAGGCATCCAAAGGAGAAGAGAAGAACTCCTGCATGGTAATCAGAATTATCTACTTTATGTTCATGAGAAGAAATTGTGACATGATTTTGCTTTCAATAATGAACAGTTGATCTTATAATGATCATAAAACAAACGACCTGGTATTTTTGAAGGTGTGATCGTATACTGTGGTATGGACGGGGCCTCTACCAGTTATCTTATGTTCGTGGAGAGTCAAAGTTCTCAGACCACAGGCCTGTATATAGTGTATTTTCGGCGGAGGTCGAGTCTATTAACCGTAGTCGAATCAGGAAAAGCATGGGTTGTTCCCGGGGCAGGATCGAGGCTGAAGAGCTGTTGCCGGTCACATGGATACACTGAACTCGTTTCTTTTGAGAGAATCATTTAACAATCCTTATTCTGCATCACACTTCTGGAATTCGACAACGCGGTATTAAGTGCATGCTTGTATAAGGTAATCCATATATACAAAGGGAACTAAATAAAATGAAACCTTTTGTTTGCCATACACTAGACAATATCTATTGCTAGGTCCTAAATGGTCCCATTTTACAGGTGAGTAAATGCCCTGCAGAAATTGTAACATAACGCGAACTGCCGATCTCAACCGGAAAGAAGGTTGGTATTTACTTTTAATAGTTTGGATGTAAATTCATTTGACTAATTCTCTAACATGACTTTTCCTTGCTGCAACAGGTTCAAATCTGTATATTGTTAATAAAGTCCCAACTTCAGAAGATCATGGCATGTCATTGCCTGACATTTGTAAATTCCAGTGGGGAAAAAAAAAGAAAAAGGAGAGAGACAATAGAATCAATTGGCATTGAATTTTTGTACTAGTATTGGAAGATAAAAGCCTGGAAGCTAGAGAAGTGATGTATGCTCATTACTCATGCATAAAACAGAAGCTTTGATTTATGTAAAACCTTCTTTTTCCAGTTGCTGCTAATCATTTTACTGATATAAAAGAGAAAGTGGCTGTGTTTGAATTGATTATTTCCATCATTGTTTTTAGTACATAATCTCAAACAGTGACCTGAACTCATCAAAGGTAAAAAGATGAATACTTTGCTGAGATTAAAAGTAATTGCAGATGTTGAGTTTCATGTAATTATTTATCCAGGAGAGAACATCCTGCAAAAGTCAAATGAATCCCAGTTATTTTTTGCAGGTTTTGGTTGGACCAAACCAAACCTTTGGGAGCTGGCAAAACTCTGAACAAACAAATTTATGAAACTAAAGGTGGATGATGAGGTGAAGAAATTGCTTTTCCATTGCCCAGAATCCAAGGTTTTTTAGTAGATATTCAAACATGGATTTTTCTGATGTTATATGATAGTACAACAACGTCAAGCTTTTTCAGTAGTGGGAATTTCCAGCTTGAATTTGGGTGATATTACAGGTTTTTAAAACGACATGTTTGGACGTTTACACTTTTTACAGTTTGAAACCATTGAAAGAGAATCTCATAAAACCTATTTTATCCACAAATCCAGAACAACATAATGAAAGTACCTTAAAGAAAACAACAATCATGGGAAACTGGTAACAGGGCAGTGGCTAGATTGTCGGGGGCCTGTACAAATTCTTAAAAGGGTCCCTATTTTTTAGATATATTCGATTTCAGGGCAACAATAGTGGCGTTTTTTTTACAAACTCCGCAATAGATTCATCTATAGTAGCATTTTTCAATAAAAATCGTAATAATAGTGGCGTTTTTTTGAAAAGCGCTACAATAAGTCCATCTATAGTGACGTTTATTGAAAAACGCCACTATAGATATATTTTTGGAGCTTTTTTTGGGGCCCTGCGCGGTCGCCCATCTCGCACAGCCCCAGCCACGGCACTGACTGGGAATGCCCACCTGCCTCAACCCTTTTTTTCTTATTTTAGGATTCTTTTGTTCCTTAGTTTCCAACATGAAAACGCCTCACTGTATTCATGTCTTCTGTCTTGTAGCTATCCAAGGCAGAGGACGATGACTGAAAGTAGGCGCCAAGGGGGAGATCTTCCAATGACTGCGGTGGTCACCGTTCTCTTTTGCCCAAGACTACCTTCATATTGATCCTCGTTAGATTTCAGATCATATCAGCACTTCAATCTATACCGTCCAACCTAAAACGAATTATTAATCATATGTATGATTTCTCATTGGTGTACAGGCTTTCTCAAAGTACAAATTTTGGATTATTGCAAGTTTTTTGTTTTGTTTTATTCTCATCACATTGTCATTTCCTTTGTTTTCTTCAAAATATTATCAGATAAAGTTTTTTAAGTAAAATCTGATAAACTGCGAGCATATGATCATGGCCTCTGACCACCTACCTCACCCGTTGCTTAAGCATGCTATAGCTTAGATGGTGGTATCCTATAGGCCGCCAGGTGGTGTTTTCTCTCCCTTCCACGTGACACTGGACGTCACCCTATGAAGGAGGGACTGTACGTACAGTCTGAAAGCATATTTAGGCTAGAAAAAACTAACATGGGAAGGAGTGGTACATGTGAATCCATAACCATGCTATGCGCGAAAGCATGTGTATCCACGGGGAATTGCCATTTTAAACGCGCTCATAGCCTTTCACTAAATGCAGAAACAGATGAAAGTTCGTCTAAAGTTTATTTAGGTCCGAGCAATAGGGCCACCAGCGCACGACCAGCATGGTTCGAATTTTATAGCAACTGGTCCCAATCTATGAAGGTGGCAAAAGCTACTTTAGATTTTTGAGATCGAAGCGGGGTGGGGATGTTATTTTGGGAGATTCTTTTGAGACCTGACAACACTGCACCCCCGCAAACTTGAAAACAACATAACCTAGCTGCTGATGCAATCTCAGAAACCTAAAACCACCCAGATGAAGCGCACTACTAAATGTACCAAGTAACTCATCTGTGAACTCAATATTTTCGATGATTGGGAGGAGAACCAGGTGTGAGCCCCCACTTGTCTTCTTATCATCTTCTTCAACACTTCTTCATCCCATGTTTTGTAATCTCATGTTTTGTAATCTCAACATGCGACCCTCACTCAAAATTAATTCAAATTTAAATTCAATTTAAAAATTTAAATTGATTAAAATAACTTTAATAAAAGAAATAAATAAAAAATACTTTAATAAAAAACTTTAATAATGAAAAAGACCTTAATAGAAAATTTTATATAGATAAAATTTTTCAATATACTTTGAAATATTTAAAATATTTATATAGATAAATCATTATTTTAAACTAACTAATAGATTTTATATTTTGAAGAGGAAATATAAAAACTAAATAAAATATTGTATTTCTAAAAGTATCATTCTGTAACGTCCAAATTTATTTTAAAATTTCTTAGTATATACAACATAAATATAAAATTAAAAAATAATTTAACACAATTGCTGACTTAAAAACATAAATATAAAATATAAAATATAAAATTATATATGTATGTATAATTAAATAAGTAAAAAATATAACAAAAATTTAAAAATAAATAATGATTATTTAATTATAAAAAAAAGCAAAAACATAATGATAAGAAAACTTTAATAAAAAAAATATAATGATTACACTAAAGTTGGTAGGTTTAATAGACTACTTAGTATATTTAGACTAACCCAAATTATATATATGTATGAATGATTAAATAAGTAAAAAAGATAACAAAAATTTAAAAATAAATAATTATTGTTTAATTATAAAAAAAATAAAAAGACATAATTTAATAAACAAAAGCATAATGATTACACTAAAGTTGGTAAATTTAATAGATTGTTTGATATATTTAGACTCAATATTTTCTTTTCTGTTTAGAGAAATAGTCAACCCTCGTTTTCCACAATGTCCATCCCTCGGTTTTAGAAAGCATCTGGGATTTAAGGCAAAAAAAATGAAGAGTATCTTCTGAAATGGAAGAAGGTGTCACCGAGGGGGACGCCTGGCCTTTGGTGTCTTCTTCTCTGATACTCCTATCCCATCTAAGGCAGTCATTTTTCATTGGCCAACGTCTTGTAGTATTTTGTTTGATGTGATCTTATTTGGGCTCTATGGGTCTTACGGTGAGAGTCTATGTCGAATGGAACGAAACATTCTTGGCCCGTATACATAAGTTCACATGTGCTAGGCTCGTTGGAAGCCTGGAGTATTGTTTAACACAGGCCCAACAACAGTTGCATTAGGTCTCGCATTAGTTATTTGTATTCCACAGCATGCAACATTTACACAAGTACTCGGTAGCTAAGCTCAGACATGAGCCATAGAGCTCCTGATCTTAAAACACATGCACACACAAAGCTGAAACCCTTTTTTCCTCCTAAACTTATTCATAGTCTCGGCTCCTTTGTTGCCTTGGTACAGGGAAAAAGAACTCCTCGTCTTGGTTACCAAAGATCCTATTCACCACTTCTTCCCTGCTCTTGAATGCCAATTCCTTGGCTTCCTTCTCGAATTGCTGCACAAAGTTGCCCTCCCCTGTAAAACAAAACCAAATTTACATGAGAAGAAAGACGGAAAAAAGTAGCCGTTGACTTACAAAAACAAGGATAATGTGTATATTTTTTTACCCGCTAGAAGGTATCTAACATTGTTTGCTATATTGACCTCAAAACATAGAATCTCCAGGTTCGTACGTCTAGAAGCAACCGTCACAAAAGGATGCCCTGCGGGAACAACGAACACTGTGTCGGGCCTTAGACGTGATCTTATCTTCTCATAACCGGATTTACGAGATGCTTGAGGAGCTACCATTTCGATGTAGCCCTGGCCTTGCACCACAATGGATATCTTGATTGCCCTCGAGTTGTAAAATGGAGCAGTCATGGATCCCTGAACATAAAATTAAACAACATGGTTAATTGGTTTTCTATTTGCAGGCACGGGAAAAATAAAGGGGGAAATAAGAGATTACTCTGCTGATGTTGGCATAGGAGACCCTGAGGTCGAAGTCTTTAAGTTGCTTGAATTCATCCGCATCAACTTCAAAGAGCTGACCGTACTTGTTAAACTTTGAAGGGCGGCGCTTCCTGAAGAGATTGAATGGATTCTTTGATTCGGCACCAAATGGCCACATACCACCTCCTCCGGTACCCTCCTCACGCCTACTCATGGCCTCGATTTGCTCTTTCGAGGCTTCGAGGAAGGCGTCTTTGCCTTGTTTCTCGAAGAAACTCTCCAGCTTATCTCTTGAAGTCTGGTTATACATGTTTTCAATAAGCAAAACTTGGCAATACTTAAGTTAAACATAGCATGGACTAAGGTAAAACTTTACCTTGAGAACAGCTTCAAGGATCTCAGTGCTGAAGGTTTCAAAGAACGATTTTGGTTTTGCACCACCAGCTCCGTAAAATACATCATAATAGTCTGGACGATTGACGGGTTGCAATAACTTGACGATGAACAGTTTCTCGTTGTCATCTCTGTTGATCAAATAAAGAGGAGTCCCAGCACGAATCCTGATGATATCTCCAGTTTCAATGTTGAAGCTCTGTCTCTTATCTTCATGGATCAACGTGATTCTTCCACGTCCTGTTATGAACAAAATGCAAAGTACTCGGTTAGAATTTTGAGTTCTTTTATAAGACAATATATTCGATAAAGAAAAGATTTAAGATTAGGACCTTGAGTGACAACAAAGACAGCGTTGGCATCGAAATGATTTGGGACTATGAACGCCCTTGGATCGGCGACAAGGAGAGCCAGTCGGTAATTCTCAATGGCACGAAGAAGATCAGAGTTTTCAGTGAATTTCGTGAGAATATCAACTCTTCCTTTCCCTGTCTTGATTGCAGTAGAGAAATGTCGATCTTCAAATACATACGGGTTGTGCTTTTCTTCTTCTTCGTATTCCTTTGTCTGTTTTTTGTCTTCCTCCCACTCTCTCGATTTTTTATCTTGGTGATATTCTTCACATTTCCTCGCACACTCTTGTTTCTGTTTCTCGTCGAACTGTTGCTGGACTCTGCATTGGTGGGAGCATTGTTTTAGCTCTGGGTCTTGCTTGGCGAAGGCTAAGCCGGCAAACAGAGCCGCAACAGACAGGATTAAAATAAGTAGAGGAAGCTTTGATTTGGCAGACATTTTTAAAAGTGCTTGTTGCAGAGATTGAAGATGAACATTGGGATTATATATAGCGGCAAGGTGCATGCATGCATGAAAACGGGTGTCCACTGTACGTGTCATGGCAAGTAAATGCTGAAACACCGCGTGGTGTTGGGCTTGCACGGGGGCGAAAATAAGGGGAAATTTGCTTGGTGGCACTCAGGCATGGAGCTAGCGATCGCATGACATCCTAATGTCTTGAGAGTGGAGCCTTCACATGGGCTTACGTTCTTGGCAGCATATAATGTTGTCGTTTAATGGATTATCCCAGCAGACTTTTGGCCTATTATTAACTATCCCCAAAAGTGTGAACATTGCAATCAATACGACATTTGCAGTCCCTGATAAGAGTATTATTGATGATAGGCAAATGCCCTTGATCCATAGACCATAATTCTATAGCCTCTTAGCTTCATATGTTTGATGCCTCCGATGAGAGAGATCGAGGTACTTTAAAGGTCAGGCATGCCCTTCCCACTCTTGGGATCGTACGTCTTCTCCAACACGAGGTCCATCGGTGTATCCTTGGGGCCAGCTGCAAGACATAACAGGCAAAACGAGTTATAAGCTGAATGCCTGTACAAATTCTCACCTGTAAAAGCACTTACTACACAACAATCCATGACACTTGAACTACAAACATCTTTAAATGCTTATGAACAGAAGCCGTTAATTAATGATGTTAAAATGTTCAAATGCACCTGATATCTTCAACGAAAGATAGCATGACCAAACTAAACACAGCAGAAAACACCAACTGCAACTCTTTGCTGCCTTTGATATATTACCACGTCCGCTTGCAACAGTTACTATATGCCTTTAAGTATTACTTACAAGGAGGGAATTAAACTTTTCTCCTCAACCATCTGAACAAGAAAACACTGGTTTTCCTTAAGTCTCAATCTAATTACAAAAGCTACAAGGTAACCAAGCATGCATGTATAGGAATATTTACAAACTTAGAGCAAAGTTACTAGTTTCAATTCTCAATTTATTGCCTTTTCTAGAATTGAATCTATGAGGAGAAGGCTAGTTGTTGTAATTGTTATACACAATCGCAAACGGCAAAAAGCTATGTTCCAGTTCCTTGAAGAACTACATTTTCCATTACATTAACTGTGTGCTATTTTGAGTTGTTGACCAGTTTTCAAAGTCTTAACTAGCACTGATAGTCTTCTAAGTTAACATCTTGCAATACCAATTCACTGATCACTGAACTGAAAACCAACTCAATATGTTTACAATTTCCATCCTGTTGAAACGACAACTATCTTCACCATCTTAAATGCAACGAGCTGACTTTTGAATTAAGATATTTTTTTTCTAGAATAAGAAGGAAATGCTAGCCATATATACTAATATAGTTGCATAAAGGGTAAAAAGAAAAAAGGGCAATAGTCAACATAAATTGAGGAAGAGCAATACCAACTGTAGGTCTTGGTGTTGTCCTTAACTTAAGAATCTCAGGGCGAGGAATTATAGACCCAGAAGCTCCTATACCTCTGGATACTCTCACCTTAGTTCCATCTTCTAGGTATTTTACTCCAACCTTACAAGGCTTCCTATATCAATAATAATCCATTAAAAACCTTATATTTGTTTGAAAAATCATAATATGCAATCAGAATTAAAGTCAATACCCAGTAACAGGATCAAGAACTTGAACATTTGAGGCATGAAGTGGAGCCTCAACAGTAAATATACCACCTTCATGACCTGGACCTTGCTTAATGTGCTTTTTCACCTGTTAAATGGAAAAAAAATTTATAAAAAAAAACCTTCCTAATAAAAGAGCAAGAGTTGTATCTAAAATCTTGAAGGATCTGACCAGATTTTTCCCTTCAACAATTATACGATTCTGCGAGCGGATAACGCGTTTGATAATGCCAGTTTCACCTTTATCTTTGCCCCTGATTATCATTACCTGTTCAATCCATTACAAAATAATGATTAAAAACATTTTAACTTAAATTTAAAACAAAAAAGGGATATGGAAATTTAAAAGGATATGCTCACATTGTCACCCCTAAGAACTTTCCAGTGCCGGATAAGCTTCTCAGCTGCTTTCCAACCCATTTTAATCTATAACCCAAAGCTTCAGAAATTCAGAACAAAAACAAGGAACTGAAAAAGAAAAGCAAAAACACACACAAAAAAAAAAGGAAGGCTAGAGTGTACCTTGGAGCGCTAAAACACCGACCTTTTGCCAATGATTTGGAAGATCTGGATCGTGCTCCTTCTACGTCAGGTGTTAGGGTTTAGGGTTATACCCTAATATGGATTATCGTGTTTGCCCGAACTCTTGACAACCCGTTTGGTTTCAGCTTTGGGCCTTTTCAAAAGAGCCCACGTCTGTTTTGCTTTAGGGTAAAATACACTCTAGGCACTCAATTATTAGTTCAGTTACAAACGGGTCACCTTTTTCTAATATTTATAATTTAATTACCCAGTTAAAATCTTGTGCAAATTGGTCTGTTAAAAATGAAATAGAAGTATAATGTGGATTGATATAATAACAATTTTAGTTTCTAAAATGTATATTTTTAGTTTTAATTTGAAATAATCCAATAAATTTAATTCTTAATATTTAAAAATTATATCAATTTAGTTATTTTTATTATACTGTCAAACCAAATGAGTCTACTGAATCGAAGTAACAATTAAGTAACTAGATTCTACATAAAAGTAATAATAAGTTATTGATGTTTCATAAGAAAGATTTGTGAGCAAAACTCAACTCGAAAAATTAAATTTTTTTACTCGACTCGAAATTTTTTTAAATTCAAGTCGAATTATAAAATAGAACGTCAATAACTCAAAAGTTTTAGTAATTAATGGGTTGATTTTTAAGTTTGAGTTGAGTCCCTTAACTCTGCAAAATATATGTATATCACATATGAAAAAATATAAAGAAATATACATACATATTGTATATAGTTATAAAAATTATTTAAATTAAAATGAAATAGTCTCATAATATTATAAATATTTACAATTAAATTTAAACATAAACTTGAACAACTCTACCAGAATTTTTTTAAAATGAAGTTTGAATTATAAAATAGGACTTGTTAACTCAAATTGTTTTTACTCAACTCGAATTGATCAAATGCTCACCCCTAATATCACCGAGAACAATAAATATAATATTATAACATTCATGGAAGAAAAACAAGCAATTTAAGAGAACAAAAAGGATTAAATTGGTGAAATTGTAAAATACCAAAGGTCAAATGTATTGAATTATTTCAAATTAGATCTAAAATTGATAGAATATATAATTTTAAGGACTAAAACTATTATTATACCTGATTATGTCGCTATTACATCTCATATTTTACGGTCAGTGACCTATTTGGGTAAACTACCTATTTGATCATCTTCCTATCGCTTAGTTTTTGTTTTGGTCACCAAGCTATTATTTTTTTCAAAATCATATTTAACGTTACATTTTGGTCAGCCAACTATTATTTTTTTCAAAATTATACTTAACGTAATGTTTTGGTCACTGGTTAAAAAATTAGTAGTGATGCTAACGGGTCAGCATTGAAAAATTATTTAAAAATTATCAGGCCATCATCACCATTAATTTTTTAACGGCATGTGACCAAAACAGAATCAAAATATAATGTTAGGTATGATGTTAAAAAAGTAGTTAGGTGACCAAAACATAAACTAAGGAGTAGTTGGGGTGACCAAATGGGTAGTTTACCCTTAATTAAGTGACTAAATTATACCTTTTAAAGGAAAAAAAGTAACTCATTTGGTCAAATATTTCATAAATAATATTTTTTAAATAATGTTGTTGAAAAAATTTCATAAAATAATGTGCTTGCTGAATTATTTCATAAAATAAGGTGAGTTTCACTAGAAGACGCATGGGAATCCTGCCGACTCACCCTATCACACGCATGGAACGCAATGGGTTTCCCTGCTATGCCCCCATGGCTCAACCAAATAACTAATTTTAAATAAATTAATAAAAGGTAAAAATGCATTAGAGGTTCATGTACTTTTGAAAAAAATTAATGTGACCCTTTTTATTATTTTTTCTCTCAATGTCGCCTTCCAATTCAGAAAACAAATCTAATATGAACATTTGACCAACGTTTTTCATCGTTGATTGTTACAGTACTAGCATGTCAATTCACGATGCTGGCGTGGCAGTTCATTTACCATGTTTGAATTACCAATTTAGTCAATCTATCATATCATCCGTCACATTAATCCACCACCCTGGACTACCATGTCAGCAATGTGGACTGCCATGTCAGCATTGTGGACTAACATGTTAATACTGTAATAGTCAACGATAAAAAACTTTGGTTAAGGGGGTATATTGAGTTTATTTCTCCGAGTTAGAGGACCTCATTGAGAGAAAAAATAATACGAGAGTCACATTGATTTTTTAAAAAAAGTACAAGAACTTATAATACCATTTTGTCTAAATAAAAATAAATCTTAACTAAATTAAATCATGAATGATAAATTAAATCAAAGTAAATATATTAAAACAATAATTAAATTAAACTAAACCGAAATCAATGTGATTTGGTTGAGCCATATAGAACATACAAATGAATGTGAAGTTCAATGTCAAATAATCTTACACATACAGAACTTCCATCAGAGGAAGTGACTTTCAAACAACAAATGTAGAACACAACCTGGACTTCAATTGAACATGAAAACTGTAACTCCGATCAATAGTGCGAGTAATAACGGAGGGGAAACAAAAGACGGACTCGACGCCGATGGCTGTATGACTGGTCGAATCCCGGGATTTATCATGGCCGAGGGAGCTTCTGGTTTCTTCATCTTCTTCGGGCGGCGAAGCAGGTCCCAGGTCCAAGGGAGCATCAGATTCTGATCCTGAAGCCTTGGAAGCTGTCAACAACAACAAACACTTTTCTTTTAAGAAAATAAACTCATGGTTTCATTTTGGAGGTGAGCTAATCAAAATACTGATGCAGATTCATTAGAGATTACCTCCAGGGCTTAAGGGTGATGCGGCTGTTGGTGGCAAAGTTGGAGGAAGAAGGAAGGGAACAGGGCTTGTAAAAAATGTTCTTCGGATCAGTTAATGCTAATTTAAATTGTCTAAATCCAAAACTTGTTTGGTTGCTTGTGTGATAAGTTACCTGGGGCTGGTAAAGGAGTGCCAGAAGCTGCAGAAACGCAAGAAATGAAATGGTTGTCACTTATAACATACATACATACATATATATATATATATAAACATATAGATAGATAGATTAAGCTCTGTACCTTTGCACTGCACTGGTACGCCACCCATGTTACAAGCTCGGGGGAGACTAAGTGCCAGGGTTCTGTTTATGGGCAGTTGAATAGGTACACTTGCAGTAAAAATAAGACAAGCACAATCCATGCTGCTGCCCATAAGCAACTTCAATGAGCCGCAACAGCCTTGAGTCGGCGACGATGAGCCACTCTCCCACTGCTTCCGGTAATGAAATTTAGGCACGGCGTGAAGGTCGAGATCATTGAGGTCGTGCAGGCTGTAGAAATTTGGCCTTCAACCGAAACGACTGAAAGGGTTGATAATATTGCAATGAGTTGGAGAAAATGGAAGCCTTCCATGACTTTGTCAATGAAATTGCAATCAGTATGGTAAAAGCAGTGGAAAGGGGAAGGATTTATACTGTTGAGTCTTTGAGATTGCTGCAAGCAAAAACAAAAACAGGCAGCTTTGAATTGGGTACTGCAGATCAACTACTTCTACTAATTTCCTCACTGAAGTAATGATTCTTTCTTTATGATCTGATGAAATCACAAGCAGTTCCAGGTAGGTCGTTCGCCATGTTAGTTATGTTTATGAACAAGCTCCAACGATCTATTCTAGCAGCCATGGCTGCTTCCTGAACCCAATCTGCATCTTCCTGGCATCTTAAAAAAACAAGGGTTTTATGCATTGTTACCCTTTTTGAATAGTTTAGGAAAATGGCTGTCGTTTTCTTTTGGTTGCCAATAGATTGATTAATTGGTTCTACTTCTAAATAACTAATAGGAGTTGGTCATCCGAATATAACCAACCCATTTGTCGGTTTCCTCAAGGACACCATTAAATAACACTCAGTCAAGTAAACCCCAAGTCTTCAAATCCAATCAAACAATTTGACTTTCCAGTTTCTATTGGCAACAAGAAGAGTTGAGATGTGTCTAATTCAATCGTCGCCGTAATGCCTATGCGTGGCGGTTAACGGTGTTCAATCGTTGCCTCAATGCCTTTGTGCGGTGGTTAACGGTGGGGCTGCAAACTAAAAAAAATTTAACGTCAACCATTTAGGCCAAGCGATATAGACTTGGGTGTGCCATTGTTTCCCCTTAATTTGTTTTGAGAAACTAAAGCTGGCTGTAAATATTAGGCTCAAGACCTGCCATGGAAGGATGGTTGAGCTTCTTGAAATTGTTCAACCAAAATCAACCCTGAATTAGTAAAAATTGGCCACCCGAATGCAACCAATATAGTATGATCTGTTGCCATGAAACCTGCTGTATATGTGCCCAACTTTCCCTTTGGGGAAGACAGTTCCATCTCTTTGTTACTCAAACCTTTTTAGTGCCACAAATAACTTGCTCCCTGCTACAAACTGAACCTCCAAAATGGCTTTAGAATATGTCAAGTTGGGTCTAGCCCTGGTTTTTGTGGCCATTCTTTGTGATTTAGCCACGGCTCAGTCCGGTTGCACCAGCGTGCTCTTGGGTTTAGCCCCGTGTTTAAACTACATTACGGGAAGCTCGACGGCCACGGCATTGAGTTGCTGCTCTCAGCTTTCTAGCGTGGTTCAATCGCAGCCTCAGTGTCTTTGCTCGGCACTCAACGACGGGGACTCCATTGGGCATTACCATTAACCAGACTAAAGCTCTGTCACTCCCTGGAGCTTGCAAAGTCCAAACGCCACCGGTTAGCAGGTGTAACGGTAAGGTCAAGCTAAACATATAAGCCATAATTCCCCAAGAAGTTAAGCTAATTTGACTGTTTACCAGGTGCTAGTGGTCCAGCAGCTGCCACATTGAGCTCTGCGGTAAATCCAACAGCCAATAGTTTGGACGAGACGCCAGACACACCGGCTACATCATCATCGTCGATGCCGAGCATTCCTTCAGGTAGACACAACTCCCAAGTTCCTACAAAAGAAAGCAGCGAATCAAACGGAAGTAGCATGAAAATGCCGATTGTTGTCACTCTCTTTACTTTGTTCGTTGCTTCATACATATGATTTTCGCCTTATATTTTAAGCGTTTTATGTCAACTAGGAGCTTCTTTACCATGTGTGCTTAATGGACTTTATTTCTATGATAATCCATTGCTATTTGAGTGCATATCTTTGTTTCCGTTAACTAAAACGCAACCGGTGAGCTAAAGAAATAATTCATGAATGATGCCAAGAAAACTACGGCAGTGTCCCCAATAAATATGTATTGATTTTTTAAATAATAATAATATGGGTAAATCACGCATTTAGTATTTAAACTATTAATTTTGATCCGTTTTAGTACCTAAACTTTCAATTTTTTCAAGATCGTACCTAAAGTTTAGTTTTTGTTTCATTTTAGTAACACGTCGTTAAAAACTTTAGTTTTTGTTTTATTTTAGTACCCCATTTAAAATTTAACGTTAAGCTTTGAACAAATTAGAAGTCTAGGTACTAAGATGGACCAAAACTGAAAGTTAGGTACTAAACGCGCTAAGTTTTTAATGGCGGGATACTAAAATGAAATGAAAACTAAACTCTAGCTATGGTTTAGAAAAAAAATTGAAAATATAGGTACTAAAATAGGCTAAAACTGATAGTTTATGTCCTAAATGCATAGTTTACCCTAATAATTTATATATAAATAAAAAATTATAATCTCAAAAAAAACATAAAATTTATACAAAATTATTTGTATTAATCGATTTTTTTAGATTTTTTAAATAATAAAAAATATTTATTAAATGACGAAAAAAATAATAAAATTCAATTAAATAATTTAAAAAATAAAAAATCTAATAAAATACTTTTTAGGACTTTACATTTTATTAAACCTTAAACACTAATAATTAGTTTTATCTTAACTTAAACATGATATTTAAAATGATTAAATCATTTATTAGTATAAAAGAATCAATTTATGGGCAATTTTATTTGAAAATGACCCAAATAATTAAAAACACTATTCTAACACCCTTTTCCCAATATTTACCAAATTATCACCCTTTTTATAATCGAGGTAAGTGCGTCCCATGGGGCGAGTCTTTCCTAAATTTCCATAAAGTACATTTAAAAGAATATACTTTAAAATAAATTAAAAAAATAATACTATAAGGATTAACAATGTAATTTGATACAAATTAAATACTTGAGTTTAAGAGCCTAATGGTGTTAGTTTATATAGACCTAGTTGAGTATTTAGGTTATATTTACTAATAATGTGTGATAGAGTTCTTTTACCCTTTTCCATGTAATCTTTAATTTTTATATTTTACTTAATCTATTAAGTTAGAGTTTTATTTTTACTATTGAAATATAAATTAGAGTTCATATTAATTAAAACTGAATATCTTCTATATTTTAAAATATTTAAATATTTATTTTTTTATTATGAGTTAAATTTTGTTAAGAAATATTTTGATGAGAATATCTAAATTAGGTTTGTTATAGTTACTAATTGGTTATGGAATTGAGCACTTTGTGTGCCCAAATAACTCTATTAATGCTACTTGAAAGAAAGTGACACACTTATAGGTCTATTTCTTATGCATATGACCAAGAAGCAAATTGAAGTAGGTGGCAAACTTTATGAAATTTAGGGCCAACTAAACATCTAAGTTTTCATTGCCCGAAAGAACTATGATTCTTATAGTGATTTTGGTCTTCCTCGATAGAAATATATAGTTTCTATATTTTATTTTGTGTCGAATAAGGAATCATGCAATTTTGTTGAAATCGAGAGTATGAAATCTTACTTTGAGTGTTATATAGTTGATCATCGAATAATTATAGTGTTGTTGAACCATTGCTCATGCTTTTTAGTAGTCCAAAATATGAAATATATTTGTAACTAATCAATGGATTTACTTGTAATTGATTATATAGTTTGTCTAGTTCTTTGACACTCTTTGATCATTTATACGAACAACTTATTCAATTAGTTTTAATTTTGATAACAATATTCTTATCAAAATATTTTTAAAAAAATTTAACTCATAATTAAAAAATTAAATATTTTTACATATAAAAATATTTAATCTTAATTAACATAAACTCTAATTTATATTTCAATAGTAAAAAAACTAACTTAATTGATTAAGTAAAACTAAAAAATTAAATATTATACGAGAAAAAGGTAGAAAAACTCTATCACACATTGTGAGTAAATATAACATAAGCACTCAACTATGCATGTATAAACTAATGGTTCTTAAACTCAAGAATTTAATATTTACCAAATTATATCATTGGTTCCTATAATTTTTTATTTTTTAAAATGTATTTTTTATAATATATGGGACGCTTCTCATGTGTCATACCACCTCTGTGAAGACACTCCCTGCAATGCACATTTTCTTCACATGTGCAAAGTGTGTTACCCCAAACGCATTTCCTTATCTCAATTTTAGAAAGTGTGTTAGTTTGATAAATATTGGGAAAAGGGTGTCAAAATGGTATCTTTTAATTATATGAGTATTTTCGAATAAAATTGTCCAATTTATGTGTCTAAATCAAGATATAATTAAATAAGTACTAACTAAACAAAAGACGATAAATGCAATCTTAAGGAAAAAATTATAAAATTAGATAAAATATATTATAAGAATAGATAAAAACATCATTTTCATAACAAAATAAAAAATATTAAATAAAATAAAATAATTTAAATTTAAATTTAAAATATCTATAAAACATATTAATTTAAATATGTTATTTTATGGGTAAAGTACACAAATGGTCTCCGACTATAGGATACTACTTTATTAAGTCTCTCGACTATCAAAAGCTATCAAATGATCACATGACTATTCATTATCTTCCAAACTCATTCTTTTCCGTTAAAAAAATAGCGGTTTTTCTAAGTTGAACGTTAACATGATGGCTATGATATAACAGTCGTTTGAAATTCTGAGATTATATTTTATCATATCACAGTCAATATGTTAACGTTCAACTCATGATACCGTCATTTTTTAGCTGAAAAGGACGAATTTAGAATATAATAAATAGTCAAATGATCATTTGTAATTTTTAATAGTCAGGGGACTCAACAAAATAACACTCTTTAGTCGCATGACCATCTTATAACTTTTAATAGTCGAGTGACTTAATAAAGAGTGTATTCGCATGTACCAAGAAGGATATGTATTTTTTTCTTACAAAATAATACTATTATGCTTAAAGGATCAAATGTAACGCGCCTTATGTTTGTATTTTTCTATTTTTTATTTAAAGATTCCAAAAAACCAAAACCAAACATTGTCTTTGTTGTGCCACCAAAATAAAATACAAATACTTCGTTTTAGACTTATAATCTTACTTAACCTAAGCTTTATTCAATTACACTAGGTTTGGAGGGTCGCTCTCTCCTCTGCAGTACCCGATCTAGATTAGTCGGTCAATAAATCGGATATCAGCGATTAATTCAAAAAAAAAGTACGTAAATGGTCTCATGACCATGGAATATTATTTCATTAAGTCTTTCGAATATTAAAAGTTACAAAATGATCCTCTAACTATAGGAAGTTACTTTATTGAGTCATTTGACTATTAAAGGTTACAAAATGGTTATCCAACTATTCATTATATTCCAAACTTGTCGTTTTCCATTAAGAATTTGACGACGGTCTGAGTTGGACGCTAACATTTTGATTGAGATATGATAGTCGTTTGAGCTTATGAGATCAAATTTTATCATATTTAAGTCAGCAGGTTAACGTACAACTTAGATTGCTGTCAAATTTTTAATGGAAAAGAACGAGTTTGGAACATAATGAATAGTCGGATGACCATTTTGTAACTTTTAATAGTCAGATGACTCAACAAAGTAACTCCATATATTCAGAGGATCATTTTGTAACTTTTATCCATTTATGTACTTTACCCAAAATCACTTAATTGATTTTCTTTCATTTATCCCTTGAATCTAATAATTTTATATTTTTAGTCCATTTAACGGAACCTTCTCAAATTATAACACATGGAATAATATTATAATATCACCTTAATAAAATATCAAAAATATAAATTCAGAATTAATATGAAAAATCATTAAATTCAAGTAATAAATATTATTTTATTCAAAGCATACCTAAAAAATATTAGAAAAAGGGTAAATTACACATTTAGTGTTTAAACTATCAGTTTTGATCTATTTTAATACTTCAACTTTTAATTTTTTCAAAACCATATTTATGTTTAGTTTTTAATTCAATTTAGTTCCCACTATTAAGATTTTAACATGTTTAGTACCTAAACTATCAGTTTTAGTCCATTTTATACCCAAACTTTCAATTTTTTTTCAAAACTTAACGTCAACTTTTGAATATGGGTACTAAATTGAAACATAAACTAAACTTTAGGTATGGTTTTGAAAAAAATGAACGTTTATGTATTAAAACAGACCAAAACTAATAGTTGAGGAACTAAACGCGTAGTTTACTCAAAATTACGGCAGTTGTTTTTGTCTCTGTATCTCTTTCTCTCCGCTGTCGTATATCGTATCTTTTCTCAGGCAAATGACACGCTACCCTTTGCCTTTCTCCCGTTCTCTCGTCGTCGGAGCTTAAATTTTGTTTGTTTTCGCGGGTTCTTGGCTTTCAGGTAAGGTATCTTCTTTTTTTCATTTCACAAGCTTTACATTTAAAGCATTTTATTCGTTCGTTTTCGATGAATTAGAAGTGGGTTTTATGTGAAGGTGAAGGTGAGTTGATTTGTACTTTATAGTCATCTTTATGATAAACTTTCTTTTTCCTTCTATTCTGAACAAAAATCAGTTTTGTTTTCTCATTTTTCTCGAGTTTCTTTGTTTTTTGTTCCTGCGTTTCGGATTAACATGTTGATAAATTGATTTATTTCTGTTTGAATGTGTTGGTTAAATTCAATCAATTCAGGGCAATGATATATAGTGTGGTGCTACGTTTGTTTGTAAATGTGCTTGATCCTTGTGCTTGTTTTTTTTTGGAAATGTGTGTTCATTGTACTATAAAGTCAGGATTCTGGGGTGGATGTTTTAATGTTGCAAATTGCTTGTGCTTTTAGATGAATTTTTATATTGAACAATGTAAAGGTTTACTGAAATATAATTTCTGATCTTCTATGGTGTGTTTTGTGGAGTTCGATTCTTTGTCGTTTGTTCGATAAGTCCGCTTGAGGAGAAGCGTTAATTGTTTGCTCGTCATTACTTGTTACAGTTGTAGGTTCTTGGATGCTTGCTTCGGTATTTAAGAAGAAATCTGTATCATGGAAGATGGCTTCATGCTGGTTGTGCTTCTTCGATATTCGATTGGGATCTTATTAATATGTTAGCTCCAAAATTCCAAGCTGTTGGTTTGGTTCTCACATACATATTCAAATTGTTGGTTTTTGGCAAAAGTCCCACATTGGTTGTGTATAAGGAGGAGGGGAAATTCTTTTGTTATAAATAAAGCCCTCCTCCTCCTTAGTTAATCATCCCACAAATATAAGCCTTCTTCTATTTTAAAGGCTATTTGTATTCTTTCTCTCTTTGTAATATTTCCTCTATTAGTGAAATATTTTGGTGTTCTCTTTTATGTCTATTTAATAGCTATTGTCGGGTATAGTTGTTGTCAATTATTGTCCTATTAAAATTACTTGTCTTGGTAGTTCTGTCTAAGGAAAGTGGGTTTTAAGAGGGACCATTGTGACCCCTCCTCTTTCCTGGGAATCTACCTTGGGGTGATTTTTAGTACAATCGTTTTCACACTAGTCACCTAGATAATAGTTTTCACGGTGAATCTGTTATTGGTGGAAATTAACCCGAATTTCACAACAATTGGTATCAGAGCTCTTGGTTTATTTTAGTATGCTCTGTGGTTGCGGCTTAGGCTGATCTTCCACATCAGAAAAATTTCCTTGGGATAATTGACATTCTGCATTGGCAGCTATTAAATAGAATTTGTAGCAGAAATGGCAGACGCTTCTTCATCTTCAATTTTGGCAAGAAATACTGTGACAGTCAGAGTGCTATTCATTTAGCAAAGAACCAGGTTTACCATGCAAGGACGAAGCATATTGATGTTCGATATCACTTTGTACGAGAGATTCTAGAAGAAGGTGGAGTCATAATCCAGAAGATTCGGACCACTGAGAATCCTGCTGATATGTTGACAAAAGTGGTAACTGCGGTCAAGTTTAAACATTGTTTAGATTTGGTCAATATTGTTACAAATTAAAAGATTGTTTTTTAGAGATGTGTGTGGAATTTGCCAAGGTGGAGATTTGTTGGTTTTTGGCAAAAGTCCCACATTGGTTGTGTATAAGGAGGAGGGGAAATTCTTTTGTTATAAATAAAGCCCTCCTCCTCCTTAGTTAATCATCCCACAAATATAAGCCTTCTTCTATTTTAAAGGCTATTTGTATTCTTTCTCTCTTTGTAATATTTCCTCTATTAGTGAAATATTTTGGTGTTCTCTTTTATGTCTATTTAATAGCTATTGTCGGGTATAGTTGTTGTCAATTATTGTCCTATTAAAATTACTTGTCTTGGTAGTTCTGTCTAAGGAAAGTGGGTTTTAAGAGGGACCATTGTGACCCCTCCTCTTTCCTGGGAATCTACCTTGGGGTGATTTTTAGTACAATCGTTTTCACACTAGTCACCTAGATAATAGTTTTCACGGTGAATCTGTTATTGGTGGAAATTAACCCGAATTTCACAACACAAATGTGCTCTTTCAGATTTCATATTCCATATTCAACTGCTGTGATTGACTAAACAGAGATTTGTTACCGAGGAGCCGTTGGAATTGATGAAACCCTGGTTATTATGTCTGGATTAATTGAAGGTCTTCCTGATCCTGTTGCCCTTAGGTGCCTAGCACGGGTTCCCTTCTACCTATATCCCAAGTTGGAGCTTGTTTCTCGTTCCTGGAGAGTTGCCATTCGTAGCCCCGAGCTGTTTAAAGCTCGAGAAGAGGTTGGCTCGGCAGAGGAACTTCTTTGCGTATGTGCCTCTGACCCTGAGAATTTATGGCAGATGTATGATCCTCTCCGTGACCTTTGGATAACTCTTCCTGTCCTTCCCTCGAAGATCAGGCACCTTGCCCACTTTGGTGTAGTCTCCACTGGTGGAAAGCTGTTTGTTCTTGGTGGTGGGAGTGACTATGTCGACCCATCCACCGGCGATCAAGATGGGAGCTTTGCAACCGATGATGTCTGGTCATATGACCCCATAATGCATCGGTGGACGCAACGTGCACCAATGATCTTACCTCGTGCCATGTTTGCATGTTGCGTTTTGAATGGAAGAATCATAGTTGCCGGTGGTTTCACCAGCTGCAGAAAATCTATATCTCAAGCGGAAATGTATGATCCCGAGAAGGATATTTGGATTCCAATACAAGATATCAACCGCACTCACAATTCAGCTTGTACAGGATTAGTTATTGGAGGAAAGATGCATGTCCTGCACAAGGGGTTATCTACAGTGCAAGTGTTGGACAATGTGGCATCCGGGTGGACAGCCGAGGATTACGGTTGGCTCCAAGGTCCAATGGCAGTTGTACCGAGAGCCCTGTACGTGATGAGCCATGGACTTGTATTCAAACAGGAAAAAGAAGTGAGAAAGGTGGCGATTTCCGCTTCTGAGTTTCGTAGGAGAATTGGATTTGCAATGGCAGGACTAAGAGATGAATTTTTCGTGATCGGAGGGTTGATAGGCCCCGATCGTTAATTGGGATATCAAACCAGTTTCCGATGGTTGATATCCTGACGATCGGGGTGATAGACCAACATGGCGTCAGGCAGCTCCGATGACAAATGCAGAGGAACAATATTTGGATGTTCTCAGCTAATTTAGCTCCTCACTTGATCTTTGTATGATTTCCCTCTGTTGTGATTTAAGAGTAAAAAGCACGGATTACAATTATGAATCTCATTATTGATTTGTTACTCGGCATTTTTACCCAAAAATCACCCAAATATTATAATATTACCTGTTAGGCACCTTTTTCCTAAGTTTACCGATCTAACACCTTTTATAATAAGGCGCACACCATATGGGAAGTCACGTTACCTTCCAAGTTTTCTTGCTATTTCAGATTCCCTATAAGCGTTTTAAAAAATATGCTTTAAAAAATTGAAAAAAAAAACTATAGGGACTAACATCATAATTTAATACATATTAGTCCCATGAGTTGAAGAGCATAGGGTTAGTTTATATAAACATATTGAAGTGTTTAGGTTATGTTTCTTGACAATATGGTATAAAAGCTAAAAGGTGTATTTCTTAAATTTTTTATCTCTATATCTGATGAATCTACTTATAAACTATTGTTAAATTTCATTAGGTTAATATTTATTATTAAGGTTTATTAATAATTAGATATTTTTACATTAGGTTAACTTATATATAATGAATATACTTAAAGCATATTTTAAAAGCATAACCTAAACTCAAACCCATTAAGTTCAAATATGCCTATATAATTAACCTCATTAACTCTTCAACTCATAGAACTAATATGTATTAATTTATGATGTTAGTCCCTAAATTTTTTTAAATTTTTTTAAAATATGTTTTTTTAAATACTTTTAGGTATCTGATGTGACAAGAAAACCCTAGAAGGCGCGTCCTTGAAATGCGTTTTCCCACATAGTGTCATATCAATATTTCTCCTGAAAAGTACGTTTCAGGGAATGTACTTTCAGTCCACCTAAGTAAAGGCACGTTTCACGTAACGCACCTTATTATAAAAGAGTGTCAGATCCGTAAAATTTGAAGAAACAATGCTTGACAATATAATTTTAATATTTGGATGATATTGGGTAAAACGTCTTGTTAATCTCGTGATTAACAATTATATAATTTATATAAAATAAAATTGGTTAAAAAATATAACCATTTTATGATAAAATTAAGTAGAATAATTGATTTTTCATTTTTGAAGATCTAAACTTAGTACTACAAAATTAAAATTCGTTAATATTTAATAAATTATATGATGAATAATCCAGTGACTTATTATATTTTAAAAACCTTAAATATTTATTAAATCTGATTTGAATTTCTAAATTTTTGAAATATTTTACAACTCATCAGATTAATTATCTAATAATCCATAATAAAGTAAGGGTAAACTACATCAAATACCACTTAACTTTAGGCTTGTATCGTTTATACAACTGAACTTTTGATTTTTCCAATTATAGCACTGACTTTAATTTTCGTTTCAATTATACCACTAAACCGTTAAATCGTTAACAACACGATGATGTGGCTGACGGCTGTCGATGTGGCTGGCAACTATCGACGTAGACATCTCACTGAAATGACCCATTTTTATATGGTTGTTAACAATTTAACAGTCCAGTAGTATAATTGAAACGAAAATCAAAGTTTAGTGTTATAATGGATAAAATTAAAAATCAGTGGTATAAACGATTAAACGCCTAAAGTTCGGTGGAATCTGACCCTAAATTAAATATTTTAAAACAAAAATTCCGTGGAAGGATGGCACTATGGTTTTTTGGCCTAATACCCAGGCAGATTATTTATTTGACCCAATAGGCCAAATAAAAGTTTAATTCGTAATCTACGACATTTGCTACAATATACATAGGATTGTCATCTCAAGGTGACGAGTTCCAAAGAACAAATTTTTAATGGTCCCATGTATATGGGCTCCATGTGCACCAATATTATTTTTTCATATCAACTCGTCATGTCAAGATAATAGTCCCTTTAGAAAAAAAATTAATTTAGTAAATTATTTAAAATTAAAAACTACAAAAACATCACCTCGAGGTGTTGAGTTTGCCTTGAATTTAAAAAAGTAGTTGTCTCTAGTCGCTGCACAACGAGCAAAGGTAATGGACAATTCCAACGGTCATCATGGAACTCGTCATATTAGAGTGACAAGTTTGGGTGGGATTTTTGAAAAATAGTTATATAGCCATTGGATTTGGGGTATAAATAAGGTTTTGAGTTTGGGTTTTTATTATGTTTTTTTAAGAAAAAAATCGAAAAATGTCTACCCGCGATGAATGTTATTTGGATAATGTACATATCTTTTTGATTGGGTGAGCTCGGATGAAAACGGAGTGTTCATCAAAGAGGAATGAGTCTATGAGATCTGCATCAGCGGATTATTATATATTTGCAACAATCTGGGTTGTATCCAGTGACCTTTTTGCATGATTTTAAGGTGAACCCGACATTTATTACGATTCTCATTGAACGTTGGAGCCCAGAGATACATACTTTCTATCTTTCAAGTGGTGAAACGACAATTATGTTGGAAGATGTCGCTTACCAACTCGGTGTGTCGGTTAATGGTGCGACGGTAGTGAGACACAACATTTTTGTTTATTTCGAAATTGTTCACGAAATTTTGGGAAAGATGTCACTGTCAGAGGTATAGAGGGGTACTAGATACGAATCACCTAGTTGGAGTCTGAATTTATAGTGACGAACGACTCCATCGAGCAAAAGGTTTTTTTCCGCCCTAGCATATCTGCTCCAATTAATTTGAGGGATATTGTTATCGGATAAATCTGGCAATTTGGCGTACATTCAGTATCTTCTGATATTGAGAATTTAACTGTGTGTCACAACACTAGTTGGGACTCGATTTTGACTTTTTTTATACTAAGAACTTTGCAAGGCTTTAATTATCCAACGAGGTCAAAAAACAGGTGTAACAGGTTATCTAATCCTGCTACAATATTTGGCATGGTACTGATTCCCGTTTTGACACCAATTACAACGATCCCATTTGAATTTTCTCTCGCTGCAAGGTAATTTTTACCATTTTTTAAGTAAATTTTTAATTTTTTTTTAATTTTGACTTTTATATTATTTAGATGACGACATAATATTATAAAGACCAAGTTGTCGGGTGCAACTAAAAGATATATACGCATGAGAATCGATATCACCGGTCGACATAGGTAAATATAATTTTTTAAATTACAAAATTTTAATAATTATTTTTTTTTTATACTAACTTTATTATTAATGTTTACAATTTTCTTGGATCTCATATTATGACGATGAGATCCGTCGGTTACTGCTACCAGGATTTTTTGAAGGGTCGGAGTTGTGGTGTGCCGTAACGTCTATGCTACACTTTGTAATTGTTGAGATTCACACCGCAGATAAAGTGTTGCGGCAGTTTAGGTATTATCAATCGATTCCTATGCAAATTATTGATATGGACGTACTCCATAGAATTGATACGCGTGGGAATCACACTCACAATTGGCCAATGAAACATGTTGATTACATTGAGCAATGGAATCAACGTCATTTGTTGATCCCTCTGCGTTACGAGATTACACCCGCCGACCTTAATTTTGACATTTCTCCTTACCTCAACTATTATGAAGCAAATTGAAAATCATATTTAACGACATTGGAAGAGAGTGAAGAATGAGAACAAATAAAGACCAAATTCACAAAGGCCATGAAGAAATCAATATCATCTTCGTCTTTTGCTTATGCTGGTTATTTTGCATCTTATACCAGTTTTGGTTTTTATCCTCCATATCATACTTCCACGGAGACTCAGCCGAATTGGGTTAGAGGTTCATGGGATGCAATGCAAAGCACTCAAGCATCTTCGATCGAATATGCGAGTGAGGGTGAATGTGATCATATTTTATATAGCCAACAACATAACCAAGTCGAGTCAATGATGACAATGATGGCATCAAATACCATAAGCACATCACTGTATTTCAAAGATGCATCTCAAAGTGGAGTGATGTTCAATAAACCTCCTTTTGAAGAAGCAAACGATGATGAAGACGATGACGATCAAGCAAACGAGCCCAACGTACTCGACGAGCTCTGCGACATTATCATTTGACGACTCCCCGGTGTAATCAAGAACTAAGAAAATATAAATAAATTTTTATCCATTGTATTAGTTTGTGATAAATTTTATTTAAGTTTTTTAATATTATTTTTATTTACTTTTTTGTTTCAATTTTTTTAAAATTAAATCTTATCAAACTCGTCATTTCGAGGTGACTAGTTTCAACATTTCATTTTTTTAAATTTCAAAAGTTGTCCGTTGCACAACGGGTACCTTTTTTAAATTCAAGAAAAACTTGTCACTTCAACGAGACGGGATTTGTAGTTTTTTTATTTTCAAATAATTTACTAAATTAAAAAATAATTTTTAAAGGGACTCATCACCTCGACATAACGAGTTTGTATGAAAAAATTAAAATATTAACACACATGAGGCTCACGTACATGTGTTTGAAACTCATCATCTCGAAGAGACGAGTCCTATGTGTACCGCAGTAAATGTTGTAGATCGCAAATTAAACTTTTATTTGACCTATTGAGTAATCCGCCTGGGATATTGGGGGGGGGGGGAATCTGGCGCTATGGCCCTAAGGCCCTGAGAACTTAAGAGCCCAATGATTTGAAATGCGACCGGCAAGCTTAAACCAAAGATTTAACCGGCATTAGCAAAAACCCTAAAAACTAGCAACCGTTCCATGGAAGGAGCAGAGATGGAGGAAGCTCGGGTCGAAGACCGTGAACACGACCACAACAATACACAGGAAGATGCTCAAATTGAAGAATCTGAACAAAAAAACAAAGACGCGGAGGTTGCACCCGCCCTTGTTTCCGTCCACCCGACCCAGAACTCAGTTGCAGTTGCTGTCGGGTCGGACCTTCGTGTCTTCAATCTCTTGTAAGCATTTTGCGTTTTCCTTCCATTCGCCTCCTCCTTTTACGTGGAATTAGTCTTCGCTTACTTAAATTTCCCTAAGAAAAATTGGGTGTTAACAGAGACAATTGTGCTGTGAATTTGGTTGATGAGTCGGGGGGGGCTTCTCATAATGATTCAATAAGATGTATTAAATATGGAACAAATGGGAAACTATTCGTATCTGCTGGAGATGATAAACTTTTCAAGGTTTGGTCTACCGATTGTTGGCGCTGTATTTCCACTGTGTAAGTTCTTAAACACCCAACTAGTTTTTTTGGGGGAAATTTTACTTTATCTTAGTGGTGCATTATGAATATGATGCATGACAGGGTTTCTGAGAAGAGACTGAGTGCAGTTGCAATAAGCAATGATGGTCTTCATGTTTGTTTTGCTGACAAATTTGGAGTGGTTTGGGTGGTGGATCTCGCGGGCTTCGATGGATCCGAAGCTTCTCTTGACAAGAAGGCGGCACCGTTGCTTTCTCATTATTGCAGTATCATTACTAGCCTGGTAATTGATTGTCTACTTTGGTCATTTTCCCACATTTGAGAACGGTTATTTCCCGTTATGTGTTCGTTTGTTAGTTACCAAATTGTTAACTGGACTTATAGGAGTTTTCACTCGATGGGCGTTTTATAGTCAGTGCCGACAGAGATTCCAAAATTCGAGTAAACGATCACACCTTAACATCTCTAGTTTTTATGAGAATGATAGTGGATAGCTTGATAAAGCCCCAATGTGACATGCTATTTTCCATTGGCAGGTTACAGTGTTTCCTTCGAAGCCATTAGATGGAGCCCATGAGATTCAAAGCTTTTGTCTTGGTCATACGGAGTGAGTGAGTTTCTGTGATTACACGTTTCCTTTGCATTGCTTTGATATCGTACTTGTGAAAGGTAGTACTTTCAAATAAAAAATTGTGTTGAATCAAGCGGCAATGATATGCTTGAACTTCTTTGAATCTCAGTTGAGGATTCGTAGGTTGATTTTGAGAATATCTCAATTTTTTTATTTGAGAATATATGTCTATTTCCATATTAGAAGATATAGGTGTTCATGGTAATTGTGTGTACAGATTTGTTTCCTGCCTTGCCTTCATTAGCTCTCCGGATTCTCCGCAGGGTATTCTTGTGTCTGGAGGTGGTGATTCAACTGTGAGTATTGAGAATTTTATTTGTTTAACCTGTCTTGTCTTCTTAAAGATTCCAAGGTGCAAATTTCAGAAATCAATGAATTGTCCAGGTTCGCTTGTGGGATATTATATCCGGATCCCTCCTTGATACTTGTGAAGTTGGTGCAAAGGTATCTCTCTTATGAGAATTTATGGAGATTACGATGATGTTTCGTGGAAATAGAATATCATTCATTCCTGTTTTTCTACTTTAATTTTTCTGCTAAACATTTTATCTTGGTTTTATTTTAACCTCTTTACCGATGGTGGGACAGGTTGAATCTGATGCTACTGAAGGAAACTGTTCAATTATTACCGGCATATGCACAATTCTCGATTGTACCCTAATTGCAGTAGCCATTCAAAGGTCAGATTCCGAGTATTCTATACGCTTGTTTTTCTTCTTCAATGGTCCGCCTGTTCAGTTGATTACCATAACAGTCATTCTGTTCTATGTAGTCTACGAGGAATAATGCTATTGGCGTGCAACCTTCCATCTCGGACTCTTTCTGTTACAAAGGTAGAGACTAAAACTTGAACAACGGTTAAAACACAAAGGATTGTTTAACTTGCATGCCTTGGAGACTGGTGCATGTTTTCTGATAAAATGATGTGAAGACTTACCGAATTTATCCATACTTACCGGTTTAGCTAAATGCATGGCTAACTATCATTTTGGCAGTTGGTCTCGATCATCGGGGAGAATTTTGTTCCTACAAGCCTTGGCAGTAGCATATCCGGAGGATTGCTATGGATGGTAACAGGTGCCTCTAAGTTCCGAGGGCCCGACATTTCGCCCTGTTCCAGAGTGAAAGGCATCTCTGGTTTCAATAAAAACAGTCCTGATTCCTCGGAGCAGGAACCAGTCGTGTTGGCTGATACTGAACTACCCGGTGGAGTCAAACTACTCGAGAAGTTGCAGGGAAGCATGTTAATCGATGAAAAGGTGTTCTTGGTGGCGGCAGATGCCGTGAAAACGGCCATGTGCAATTTGTTAAATAAGAAGCAATACTCTGATGAGAAACGAGAGTTCAGAAAGCGAACAAGAAACGATAAGAAAAAGAAGCAGTGACACGGATGCAATTATTTGTTTTGTAATTTGCAATTACTTGAGAGTGTAGAATACTTGAGATGAAATTCCATTTCCTTACACAGCTCAAGGATCTACATATCAAATGACTTAGTTACTCTCCGTTTGGTAGTAAAAAACATAAGCCTAAATAAAGGCAAATGATTTTAAGTGAAGTGGCGAGAAATAACGAAGGGAATTACTTCGTTGCAATCTCTTTTTCCAGAAATCTAAGATTTAATCAATTCCCTATAACAATAACCTTAATTTCCCCAAACAACGAATAAAGTAAGTAAACATATTTGAAAGCAGAACAAGAAACTCGAATCTAAACGTGAGATCTTAACGGGAATACGAGAAAAAGAGAAAATGTTTACCTCGTTAACGCAGTTGAGGACGATTACAGCAAATTAAATTCTGGAAAAAAGGAAAAAGTAAGAATTGAGCTTGAAAGGCAATTAAAATGAAGAAGAGAGAAACAGTGGTACCGTCGGTGATATCGGATTTTGGAAGCATCGATCGGAGAACTTCAATTAAAATGCCCGGGAAAATAATTCATTGTGAATGATTTGTTTTTTCCCCCTCAAAGAAGTGAAAACCAGATGGCAGCATAGAACCAAGGAAGTCCTAGTATTCTTAGTATTCGGACCCGAGACCTTAACAATTCACTTACTATTAAAGTCACTCGTTTCGTTTCATGACCGCTAAACCATTTATTCTTATTTCTTAAATACGAATCATGCCAAAATATACATAAACTAATTATTAGTGTGTATAATAATCTAAACACATGAAAATTATAAAGACTTAATTAGCAACTAACCTTGCGTGATTATCACGTAAGATCATAAATAAAGAGATTAATAAACAGTGATAATGAAAATGGATGAAGAGAGATATTTGCAGAAGTTCATCCCCACCAAGCTACACCTCAATTTGGCTCTTAAAATCCAAATATATAACCATAGAAAAATAAATCGATTCTTAGAAGGGCAAAAATGAAACTGAATTCGTAATTGAAGTAAACCAATTCATGACAAATAAAAAAAGCAAACTTCAAATATATATATAAATAAAAGCCACTATTAATGGGGAAATGATTCACAGAAGATCACAATCAGACCAACCATGGCAGTAGGTTCTTTACATTGGTTCCAAATATATTTGCGGAAAGATTATTAGCAATTTAGCATGAAGAATTATCATGGCTTTCCCGAACATCGGTTCGAAGCCTCCTTGCCTTTGTTTCATCGAGATAATTTTGATAAATATAAGAGGCAAAACCACAGAGTGCAAGAAGCATAGCAATTACCTTCACTCCGTTCATTTTGTCATGAAAAACTACCAGAGCAGCTAGAGGAGTAACAGCCAATGAAAGAGTACTGATCACGTTGGAGAAGAGAGACGTGACGAAAAATCAAGCCTACAACACCAGCACATACTTGCCAGGTTACAGCAGTCCAAACCAAAGTCAGCACGTAAGAAACTCTTCCGGCGTCGAAGCCCTGCATCTCGTGCTGCAAAGTCTTCCATTCCCCGCTCGCAAAGAGACCCACGACCGATACACAACTAGCAACGACCGATGTATAGATTTGCATTTCCAAAACAACAGAAAACGTTTCCTTCTTCAAAACCTTTTGAAAAGAAAGCTGCATAAGGGAAAGCAAAAGGAGTAAAGGGCAGAAGCTCCGAGGGTAGCGAGGAAGCCGATGAGAAATTTCTTCTTTGAAACTCCCGATGGCCCTTCGGAATCATCATCAACTGCGATTAAGGCAGCAGACAATGACAAGATAACCACAGAGTTCAGGATCAAAGCAGTGAACTTCTGTGAATTTAGGAAGTAGGAAAACTGCATTGAAAGCCAATTGAGTTGCACAAATGAGAGAATACGTAGAGGCTGAGAGGTACAATAGCCCAACAGAATACAACATATTGTCACCGGCTACGACTGCTCCGAGAACGAAATAAACCAGAGCAAGAATTCTGATGGGAGGCGAGGCGGAAGAAGTCGAAGCTTCCGAAGAAGGGCGAAGGAAAAACAAAGGGATAAAAAGGACAGGGAAGCCAGCAGTTTGCACAAGAGTGGCCATCCATTTACTATTCCCACCCTGATCATAATAAAATCTCCCCAGAAGAACTGCAGCAGCTTGGCCGGCAATGAGGAAGAAAATGTTGATTGCCGCCAAAGCCCACCATTGCCAGTGATTCAGTTTAAGAAACGGTGATTGATCCATCAAATTTTCGTCCTTGTAAAACAGTTTTACCTATACATTTGAAATTGAAAACTGAAATTAATGAATTGGATCAAAGTTCTAACATCAAGAGGACTAATGCTTACTTTTGGCGACATAAAGATCATCAAATAGATTCATCCAAGTCCCGGCACTAAAAATTAAAATTCATATCAGTATATCACACTTCAAGCCCAATTATTATTATTATAAAGAGAAGAACATTAGGGAATTTCATTTTACTTCAGTCGGTAAATATATATATATATATATATATATATATATTATACCTAAGCGAAAACTTAAGAGGTAAAGAATCATATCATCAGCAATCGACAGAACAAAGCCCGCAATGGAATCTATGCATTAACACAGAACCAATATTCAACATTAACCAGTCTTCTTCGCATAATTAAGATACGCAGAAGAAAGAAAGAAAAAAGCGCGCATCACTTTAAGGAATCTTATCAGAGAATTGAAAATTATTTCTTACAGTTCACTTCCGATTTCTGATGAGAACCTGTCCCAGAAACGCGGCTCGCCAAAAATATGAGAGATGAAGAAAAATATGATCGGAAGAGAACATAAAATTAAAGACAAATGCGAAATTTAGAGCTTTCATTCACTTCAACCTCATGAAGTGAAAAAAAGTGTTGCCTGCCGGCTCGTGATTCCTTTTGGATAGTCGCGGAAAATTTTAACCTCAATTTGTTTAGGTAAATTAAAAGTTTCTCCACGTGACGTTATCCTTAATCTCACGTTGATCACTAAGGTTTATAAACGTTCAACTTGATCACCAAATCTTTGACAATGAATTTGTTGGGTAAAATACCCATTTAGTACCTAAACTATCAGTGTTGGTTCGTTTAGTGCCTAAATTTCAATTGTTTTCAAAATCATACCTACAGTTTAGTTTTTGTTTAATTTTATTACACCGTTCAAAATTTCATGTTAAATTTTTAAAAAAATTGAAAGTTAAGGTACTAAAAAGGACCAAAAACAATAGTTTAGGTACTATAAACACGTTAATTTTTTAACGGAGGGGTACTATAATAAAATAAAAACTAAATTTTAGATATGATTTTGAAAAGATTAAAAGATTAAGTATTAAAATAGACTAAAAGTGGTAGTTTAAATACTAGATGCGTAGTTTACCCATTTTTATCACTCTTCTCCTTTCTAAGTTATTGTATGATAATATGACTTATTTTAATATTTTTAGCTATATAGACTTCAAATAAAATAGTGGGGTAATAAAAAATGAATAATATAAATTTTTATGATAACAAAAATTGTTTAAAATCTTAATAATAAAAAAGATTGAAAAAAATTAGTGATGAAATTATAATTTATACAATATTTTAATATGAATTGGTTGATTTTTTATTATATCTAGTGAAAAAAAACAAATTATGTATTCAAACAGATTTTGATATGATAGATCAATTTATTTATCTTCATCGAATTTAAATTTTATTTTTCTTAAATTTAATTAGGTCGGGTAAGGCCATCTATATATTATTGATTAGGGTAAATTATGTATTTAGTATATAAATTATCACTTTTGATTTGTTTTAATACTTAAATTTTTAATTTTTTAAAAATCATACTTGAAATTTAATTTTTTTATTTCAGTATCCGCCGTTAAAAATTTAGTTTTTATTTTATTTTAATACCCATTCAAAATTCTAATGTTAAGTTTTGATTTGTTTTTAAAAGTTTAGGTACTAAAATGGATAAAAAAATTATGGTTTAGGTACTAAACACGTTAAATTTTTAATGACGGATACTGAAATGTATGAAAATTAAACGTTAGGTATATTTTAAAAAATTAAAAGCTTAATTATTATAACAGACTAAAACTGATAATTTAGATATTAAATACGTAATTTAACTTATTAATTACAAATTTCACAATTCTATAGGCATTGGGCTAGTTCACTTTCTTTCGGACTTGGGTCTCAATAGGCTTTTTGTTGTTGTGGTCGTCGTCGTCTCAATAGGCTTTCGACACCTTTAATTATAATGTCGGTTTGGGCTTAGCATATGTATTATTTTCATATTTCCCCCTAAATTGTTATCTTCTTCTCAGGTTAATCATAAAATCTTCAGTGAGTACGATCTGATTCCCTTCGCTCTCTTTTGAAAAATTTGCAAAAGGAAAAACGATAACTCAAATTGCTTACGTAAATTGATTGGATTCCAATGGGCCGCCTGACGTCCACCGTCGAAGTTCCGGGACGAAGGAACGACTCTGTTCGGGAGAACGGCCGCTACATTTCTGAATCCGATGCTTCCCCCGGTAACCCCCGACACAGCCGTCGTAGCCCTAGCTATGAAGCATACGAACGCGACCACCAGAGCCGCAAGGGTAACCAACAACGTAATCGTTCTGGTTCACCTGAATATAGAAAGCCTAGAAGACGAAGCCCTCCAGAAGTTCCTGAAAGAAGGCAGCGTTTTGACCGCGAAAAATCCGATGATTCTATCGATTACAGCCGCCGTCGGCGCAGTCCCAGTTACGATGTCTACGACCGCGACCGACCACAAAACCGCAACCTTTCACGGTCACCTGGAGGCGAAAACCCTAGAAGGCGGAGCCCTGTCCATGACCGCTCCCTAAACTCGCTGCCCAAGAAATTCGGCAAGAATCATAGCTACCTGGACCGAGATTATAGGAACGGAAAACAATCGGAATCTGAATCGGACGAGGAGTTGAAAGGATTGAACTTTGAGGAGTATAGGAGGCTGAAGAGGCAGAAGATGAGGAAGGCGTTGAGGTTTTGTATTTGGGAGAATACGCCTAGTCCGCCGAGGAACGAAGACGATGATTTGGAGGATAAAGGTGATGAAATTTCAGAGAAGTACGGGGAGGATAACGGTGATGAGAAGAGCGACTCCGGTAAAGAAAATGAGAAGAAGGACAATAGGAGAGTAAAATCCGAGTCTGAGTCTGAAAAATCTGGTAGTAGTGAATCAGAGAGTGAGTCGGAGAATGAATCAGAATCTGATTCAGATGATTTAAGGTATCGGAAGAGGAAGAAGGAGAGTTCTAAGCGAAAAAATAGAAGCAAACGTAGAAGTGGGAAAGCGTCATCTTCCAGTGATAATGAATCCGGTCAAAGTGAATCCAATGAAGAGGAGGAAGATAACAAGAGGAGAAGGAAGTCAAGGAGAAAGCGGAGTAGCCGGAGTAAGAATAGCAAGAAAAGCAGGAGGAAGAGTAGGCATAGTGATTCGGATGAGAGCTACAGTTGTGAAAGCGAAACTGATATATCTTCTGACGATCGTGTCAAGTCGAAGAAGCAGAAAAGCTTTTTGAATTCGAGGTCTAGAAAGAGTAAGAAAAGGAGAGGATCAGAAACTAATAGTCAAGCTTCAGATTCTGATAAGAGATCAGATTCCGGAGTTGATGCTAACAATAAAGCAATGATAGATGAGCCTAATATGGCTGATATTAATGCTGCCGAAGCTCTTATGTTCAAAGGAAATGCTAGAGGCTCAGAAGAAACATGCATTGGATGACGAGCCTATGGTTGGCCCAGCACCGTTGCCAAGAGCTGAGGGGCATATAAGTTATGGCGGTGCTCTGAGGCCTGGTGAAGGTGATGCCATTGCACAATATGTCCAACAAGGGAAGCGTATCCCACGAAGAGGTGAAGTGGGTCTTTCTGCTGAAGAGATTCAGAAGTTTGAAAACCTTGGGTTTGTGATGAGTGGTAGCAGACATCAGAGAATGAATGCTATTCGTATTTAGGAAAGAAAACCAGGTTTACAGTGCAGAGGACAAGAGGGCATTGGCTATGTTTAACTATGAAGAGAAAGCAAAGCGCGAACACAAGGTTATGGCTGATTTGCAACGGTTGGTGCAACGCCATATTGGGCAGGATGTTGGCCCGACTCACAACCCTTTTGCTGGAAAGGATGGTGCCGATGCTTAAATCTCATGTATGTTCGACTATTTATGCTGTTGCCACTATTAGTTTATTGCTAATTTGTTTGTGTTGCAATGAAAGCATTATCACTATTACTAACTGCTGAAAATTTCCCATCAAAGGTTTTTTGGTGTGTGCGTGTTGAAGGCAGCATTTTTCATGTAGTTAGAATATGGAAAAGTAGGAATAAGAAAAACTGCGGTATGTTGGCATGATTTGCATTTTCATCAACATCCTTTCCTTTATTTTCTGTTAATGAGTGATATACTTGAATTGAAAAGATTATTATCAGTTTGTCATGGTGGAGACCAAAAGTGTGAGAGAAACCACTTAATCCATTGTTTTGTGGTATTCTCAACTTTGTAGTAACTGAATGTTCAGATGGTGAGAGAAGGGTATAGGGTGTTCTTTGTTGGGGGGTGGGGTCCTAATGTCTTGCTTTTGCTCTTGTCATGGCCATAGGATACGTACAAATGTGCTCTCTTTTTTTGCCTTAATATATTCATATAGCGGTTATGGAATCCAAGCTCTTACTGTTGGATACTACAGGTTGTGATTTATGCTGACTGTACAGGATTGTTTTTAGAGGTGACAATGAAGAAAGAGAGCTTGTTGCATGATCTACAGCCTCTTTAGGAAAATTTGTTTAATTGGAAGAGTTGATAGGATTGTTTGTGAACTGATCAATACTTTATATCATTTAGCTATTCCAAGGGGACTTGAAACTAAACATGTTGCTTTCTCATTCAGATCTTGAGCTTGTCATCAGAATTGGACATACAACATCATCCGAGACTCCGCCATTGGTAATGGAGATTGCAACCGTTGAAAGACCAATGGACAAGTTGATCTAGGCAACCGGCCTTGGTTGTTTGAATCTACAGCAGGCACCTCAACTGAAGCTCGACTGTCATTTACTAGTTTTGTAAACAACTTTTGTTCAAGTATATGATATGGTTTTAGGATATTTAAGGTGCCTTTGATTTGCACTTGCTTAACTGAAAGTTAAAATTCATTTTACATAAACGCAGTACAAAAGGAGAAAGTACATAGAACAATTAACAAGAAATCATGGTTTTACATCATTTTCATGAAGTCGCTCATCTTACAAGTCATAAACTCGTTTTCCAGTGAACTTAACTTCAATGGGACTGACATTCTTCCCAATTGACCTAGAGTTCTGCCCCACTCCTTGAAGACCGGGGTTCACCTTCTCAGGATAAACACCATCTTTGGGGTGAAAGTATTGAACCTCGCCATTTGGGAAAACCCTGTAAAATTGGTACTTGATCTTGTACTTAAACCTCAGCCTGGTACCCAAAGCCAGGCACTGCTCTTTCCTTGCCAGCTTGAGCAAGTTGGGTCCTTGCCTCATAATGGCTGCCCCTCCCGTTGGCATCTCGAAGATTTGTTCTTTGGGTGAATCCCCTGTGATGACAGAGAATTCTTCAACTTGTGCCTTTCTCAACAGTCCTCCGGTGCTTCCTCCAAAGATGGGTGATGGGGTGTTGTGGTCCAACTACTACTACTACTATCACGACGATGACGACGATTAACAAAAAATATCATTATATATATTAGGGTAAACTATACATTTAGTATATAAATTATCACATTTGTTCTGTTTGATCACTCGATTATTTTTAAAATTTTACTTAACGTTAAGTTTTAGTTTTATTTTAATCACTCACCCTCAAAAAATTAAAGATGATGATGTTAACTTATCATCATAAAGTAATGTTATATCATCAATAAAAAAATTAAAAATATTATATCAATAATGTTATTAATTTTCTAGAGTGACTAAAATAATATTAAAATGGCATTTACAGTGATATTAACAAAGGGTCACAGATCTTTTGAGAGACATGGGAAGTATTTTTAAAAGAGAGAAACTTTTGGCAGTATTGGATAATGCCGAGATACTGTGATATTATTTGGTTATTGGATTTGCCTTTACCTTTCCCATCTTTTACAATGGTAAATGAGTCACTCTGCCTACTTATACTGTTTAAGGAAGCTTGCGTGAAAGCATCAAAGTGTTGTGTCAAAAGTTGGGGTAAATGAGTTTGAAATATGCCTATTCCCCCCCCCCCCCCCCCACAAGCCACAACCAAAAGCAAAGGAAATGAACAAAAAATAGTAATGAAACTAAGAATATTGTTTTCTTAGCAAATGGTTATCCTATTTACACGTCAGCATCACATTAAACCAATAAAATAATGATGACCTCGTCTAACACCCAACAATGAAGACCCACATTATGGGGTATTGGTTGGTTACTTAACCATAACAAGAGCAAATCTGGTGCTTTTTCAGTTACCATGAAGACCTTTGTCCCCCCTCAAAAATCTTTTTAATGCGTCCTACACCTTGTCCCTTGAGAATTTCATCTGCTCTAGGCGATAAAATACTAAATGCAGTTTGCTTTCGATACCTCAGAACTCCGAAAGGTGGCAGGGGCATGTGATCGAGATCAGAGCACGTTTCTTCTTTCAACTGGTGTATCAGCAGAAGAATTCTCACTCTGCTTCTTGTTGAGCTGTTCTAAGAGACCTGACAATCGTATCCGATGAGGTCCCGCTGCTGTAGGTATTTCTTATCCCTGTGGCGATAACCCGGACTTGGTATTCACCCCGAACAGTATTTGTGTTTGGCCTTGTGGAGGCTTCAATGGTTGCTGGGGAAAGAATATAACATTGTTCCCAGGGGAAGCTGGGGTTCTGGCTGAGTTTTTCCACGGGGTTGATTGTGTTGCAGGGTTGCTTTGGGGCACACTTTGTGAGAATATAGCAGCATTGCTAGAAAACTTGGCAGCAATGGAAGATGCAGGCATGGTGTTGGTTGTCTGAGTTTTGCTTCGAGATGCTGCAGCAGGCTGCTGCTGATGTTGTTGTTGTTGCGCCATGTGCTGCTTCTGATGTTGAAGCAGCTGTGGATTCGAATTTGATGAGTTGGGAACAATGGGAGGATTTACAGATACCGTAGTCGCCGTAGAGCGTGGAGGCCAATTTCCGGTGACTGGAGAGGATACAAAATTCAAGGATTTTGCTGAATTGTCAAAAACATATGTCTGACCGTTTGTCCTATGTGGCTTCCCTGAACTTGCCTTCTTGCCGTCATCCGTATTGGTTGGACTAGATCCACTCTTCCCATCAGATCCTTGGTGATTCTTCTGCTGTGCAGCTTGTGGTACAGGGACAACTTGGTATCCTTGCCTACCCATCTCAGGTAGGCTATGAAAACTTGTGGGGTTCTGAGCCATGGATGAGAAGTTGAGATTTGAAACTTTGTTATTTCCGGCGAAGGAGGCGAATGACATGGCAAATGCTTGAGGGGGAACGAGATCTACTCCGCCACCACCCACCGATGCAGAGGGTACTAGCGCAAAGTTGAGTGGCTGATGATGAACTGGTGGGTTCTGACCATGAACCTTTTTCTGTGCGTTTGCAGTGGTATGCTCTCCACCACTCATCTCATGCTCCATTTTACGAGATTGATTGGATGAAAGCATCTTATGCTCCTGCAACTGATGTGAATGCATGCTTGTTGAGCTCAGAAAATTATTGGCACAAACTTGTCCACCCCGCGGTTGCCGACTTTCTAGTTGCTTGTGGGATGATGATGAACCGCTCGACGGGACTGCACTTTGATAAGCTGGTTGAACTGGAGGCTGAGAGCGGGCTAGCTGTTGTTGAAGTTGAGGATGCAACATCTGAGAAGAATTGAAAGACCCATTATAGAAAGGCAATACTTGACTGGGGGTTGGTCCTCTAATTGCAGACGGGTTTCCAACAGGAGCAGAGATAGAAAACGGATAACCATTGTTCTGTCTTATAGTCAAGTACGGAGGTTGGTTAGCGGCCAAATTCGGGTAATTAAAGCCCAAACCTGCTGCTACACCTGGTAACACTGTCGAGCTAGTCGAGAGTCCAGGTGTTGAAGTATCATTCGAGGATGCTTTAACAGTAGAGGTATCAGGTTTGGACGGGCCAGATTGATTTGCATTTGTTTGATACTGACTCAAAGGAAAGATGAAAGCAGGACCATGCTGCAACATGATTAAAAAAATCAAGACTTTGAAAATGATAAATTCTTAAAAACAAATTTAATGAAAATGGATTTGCAAGGATTCTTCATTAACTTAAAAAGTATAACATACCATCAAGTTACCAGCAGATACTGGTTGGGAAGCCTTTTGAAACGCCACCTGCTTTCTCTGCACCGTATCCTTGGAGCATTCAGAGGTTTTATCTTTCCTGGTAAGACCAGGAAAGCTCGCTGCAACCTTACTTTTCTCCTCTGTAGGGCTTAGATTCACTAATGGATTTCCAGGAGTCGAAGTTTCCGCAGATGGCATCACATTGAGATAGCTGGGCTTGGCCCCAGATAGAGAAGCAAAACTGGTCGGTGGTGGCCAAAAATGGTTCACTTTTGCGTACTGCTGGTGTAATTGTATGTTATGAGCAATGTAATGATGCATGACGCATCTTTTAGGCCGAGGCTGGGAAAGTGAGAAACGAAGAGGCTGCATATTTCCAATAGAAACTCAGATGTTTGACAAATAACCTACGCCATATATTTAAAAGTTTGGCCTAGCAAGTAGCAAGGATATCAGTAATTCATACCTGCAATGCCGTCGATGATCTAGCACTTGCATCCAAGGGTGCAATTGTCGGGAAGGGAGGCATATACCTGTCGTAAAAATAAAATTTAAAACTACTTAGAAACAAAAATGAAGAATACAACTACATTATTTAACAACAAAAATGCAGGTCCGGAACAAAGTCTTGATATCTTACCCTAAAGGTGGCAAACCATTCGGCAGGTGCACTGAACTAGATTGAGCTGAATAAGAGACGAGGATCAATTAGTACACTCGTCTTATCATAACTCAAGAAAACCAAGAGCTAAAGTTAACAAATAGAATTCATTGAACAACACAGTGAGCCAAAAGAAACATATTAAAATTACCTGTTTGCAGCACTTTAGGTAGCTGTTGCTTTTGACCTTGCTCAGATATACAAAAAGCACTAGCAGCTTGATCCGGCTTCTCCAAATTAAGGTTCAATGAATCTCGTTTCTCGATCATAGTAGCCATCTTCTTGTCCTTACCATCATCTGCTCTCATTTCTTTCTTCACAGCATTTGCTTCGTCCTTAGCCAAGGTCTCCGCCTTCTGCATCGAAAATGAAAAGTAAGAAAAATGTATTTAAACTGAACAAAAATCAGGAGGAAAAAATAAGAAGAATCGAAGGTCACTCACTGACTCAATTTCCCAAGCCTTGCAATTAGGATCCAATGTGATATCCACATAGCAATCCTTCACCGGAGATGATGCCGTAGGAGGAGCCTGTTGGGAAAAGGTGGCCTTACTCGTAACGCTTTTTCTTCAGAAATTTAAACAGCAGTCTATATTAAAGTTTTAGAGAGAATGGATATTCTCACCATCAAATCGATCTTGAACTTCTCCTCAAGCTGGCTTTCCGCTCTTTTCTCCTTGGATATTCTATTAGTATCACACACCATTTGAAAAGAAATCAGATATCTTGAGAGCATTACCTAAAGGAGAGAAAAAAACAAGAAAAGAAGAATCTTTGATGCTTACAGTTTGATTGCTGTAGGATTCTGGAAATCAACTTCCGAATTACCCGATTCCTTTTTAGTCACATCTCTATCCACAGGTTTCGTTTCTCCAACGGATGGTTTCGAATCTCCTCGCTTAATCAAAGTTACATTCTCCGGTGACGGAGTCACCACTGATGCAGTTTTAGTAGCGCCGTTTTCAGAAATTTGACCCTTTTCCGGTGAACAAATTTCCGTTTCTGCCTTCTGCTCATTGTCGACTTTCGGTGGAGCTCGAGAATCCACAACTTCCACTTTCTTCTCCGTCGAGGCTACAAGAGCCAATAAAAAAATTAAAGAAAGAGAAACCTTTAAGAGAAAGGATCGAAAGCCAAGAGTACTAACCATGGCCAATTAATGGATCCTGCTTAATATTGGTGGAGGAGACATTTGCATCTTCAGATTCAAGCTTTGACAAAGGATTACCAGCGCTATCTTCCTTCTTGGAGCTACGCGTTTGTTTCATCAATCCGAAAAGAACCTCTGCGATTTCAATCTCGATATCTTCTTGAACTGAGAACGACGGCTTGGTCGCCTTTGGAAGTCGAGTCTTGGGTCGATTCGTCTTCCGCGACGTCTGAAAAAAAAACCCAAAAACAGCTAAATCCTCTCGATTTCGTCAAACACTCAAAAGAAGGGGAAAATCTAAGATCAAAAATATGAGCTGGCCATCTTCTTCCTAGCTGAACCATTTGATGAAGACGGTGAAACTCGGTCAGATTCAACGCTCCAACGAACCGGCGACACCGAAGCTCGCAAATGGTGTTGTTCATCGGCTAAGCCACCATTTCCAGGCACCCAATTCTCATGTGACCTTTTCACTGAAGCTGAAAAAGAATACCAAAAGAAAAAATCAGCGCCATCTGCTATATCTAAATATAAATCATTAAAAAAACACCAATTTTGGTACCTGAGCGAGCTTTTCTAGGAACTGGAAAACTTATCATTTCATCGGTGGCCTTCGAATGGGCTGCTGCTTGCCCAGAAATTCTAGCTGAAGGTGAAATTTTACGGATACTGAGCTGCTCGGCTTCGTTATCTTCTTCTTCTTCTTCACCTGAACTTTCCTCCGTACTTTCTTCTCCGTCCACCTTATTTTGTCGCCGACGCTTGCTCCGATTCGAAAAATCTCGGTCTCTTTCTTTGCTCATTCGCTCCCTCAGCCTCACCGTTTCCTGAATCTCCATCTCTCCACCTTCTTCAAGCAACAACAAAAAAAAAATATTAATCAAACAAACTCAAAATAAAATGAAAAAATGAGAAGTTAAGAGAGAAAAAGTCTGAAACCAGGTGAATATCGGAGATTATTGCTTCGTTGACGACGTTTAGGCAATCCTCTTCTTCCTTCTTTCTTTCTCTCCATGATATATATATATATTCTTCGATCAAAAACTCAACAACAACAACAACAAAATCTTCCAACGAGAACAACCGGCCGTTAACAAATTCGCCGTCGTTTCCGGCCAAAAGAACTGGTTTTGAGAACTTCCTTAAAGAGTCTAAAGATAAGAGTTCACCGTTCTCTCTTTTGCGTCTTTATATTTATTCTCAGCGATAGCTTTTCTGATTTTTTAACCTTTTTGCTTTCTGTGCTAAAAAAAATCTCTTATCTCGTCTTTTACTTGGGTAAAATACACTGTAGGGTCATTAAGTTATGTTCAAACAATTGTTTTAGTCACTAAGATTTCAAAATTATGATTGATTTATTATATTTATCAAATTATTATAAAATAATCACTGTAATGTTATAATGAATGCAGAAATTTAATTAATTTAATAATAATTTGATAATCATTAAATAAATTTAAATAATATAGTTTAAAAAAATTAATGATTATTTTATAACTTTTAAAAGTTAAATGACTAAAATAATGATTTAAACTTAGTTTAATATTCTCTTATCATTTGTTTTCTTTTGGGTTATTCTTATCTTTTTCTCCTTTATTTAATGGAAAATCAAATATAATTATTATTATTTTATCGGAAACTTTATAGAAAATAATATTAACTAACTTTGAACGGCCAGCTGTTAACCAATTTCTACTTTTTTTTTAAATTTAATATTAATTTTCACTTATTTTTAATATTAATTTTCACTTGTTCACTCGCGTGAAAGTGGATACCAACTCCGAGTTGGTCATGAGTTAGACGGTCCATGTTTTTCCTTCTCTCAAATGGGTTGATCCCGGCCGTTCATTTTGTTGGACAGATGTGAATTCTAGATGTCTACACGACAGACACGTCACTTTCGTGATTGGAATATGGCAAATGACCACTAACTCGCCACGTTTCAGGCGTTGTACACAATATTCAATAGATGATAATTAAATATCAACACCTTACTTTGAAATTAAGGGTTGGCCCATTCTAATATAAAAAATCAAATTTATTTATTTATTAAAATTAGACAAAAAAATATTAGATGTCCATTTAATATTTTTTAAAGATAATATAATCTTATGTTATTTTCTCTCAATGTAGTCTTCCAAATAAGAAAATAATCGTTGATTGTTATGATACTGACATAACATTTTACTATACTAATGTGACAGCTCGCGATACTGACATGACAGTTCACGATGATTGATAACGTGATAAATGTGTTAAAATGGTAACTGAAACATGAGAAATGAATTGATATGTCAGTACCGTAAATCGTTGTATCAACATCGTGAACTGTTACACTAATACTGTAACAATTAACGATGGAAAAACACCAATCAATTATTACAATAGGTTTGTTTTATGAGTTAAAGTATCACATTGAAAATAAATTACTACGATAACTATATTATTATATTTTCAAAAATGCATTACATCTTGTATCTTTTTACTTTAAATTAAAACTAGATCCTATTTAAAAACACTCATAAAACCTTGTGCCAATTGTTTAATAAAAAAATATAAGATATTATTTTATTATTTTTAAAGAAAAATATGATTTGTATAAAAAAATTAATGTGAGTGCAATAAATTTTAATTTAATTTATTATTTAACGTACACGTAGGCCAAATTTAACCATAAGCACTCTAAATTTAACCATAAGCACTTGGTGATTTAACATGGACCTTTTGTTCTACATATTTAGGGTGGCGGTAACTAATCTTCACTTTCATCTGGCGAGTGGGCAAGCAATGTGAAAAAAGGCATCACATTTTCATTTAGTGGATCCCACCTCGGACGGCACACTTGTCGACCAGCCATTGGCTAGTTTACTCAAATGAAATATCTTTCTTTGTACCATACAGTATGGCATAGAAGCCGATTTTGGCCGGTTGCCCGTATTATTGTTTGTAGTGCAGTGCAAAAAGGAGTTGCTCAATCGCATGGGAATTTGTGGGCCCGAAATGATCGATCGACAAACTCTTTTAAGTGGACCCGTACAGAAACCAACGGTAGAGATTTATTGTTTGACGGCGATAGGAAAGTAGCATCCGTTTGATCCGAAACCGACGTGGCTTTTCACAACCACCGTGAGATCGAAGAACGGCTGATAATTTTTGTCAGCTCAATGAGCAGGGACCGTGCGAGAATGGCAGGTCCAAGTGGGGCTATTTGCTGATCTGGCTTCTAGGCATGACGTCATGGAAATAGAGCTGTAAATAGATGTGGGTGGGGATGCGTACAGTACACTCGCGTAGGAACACGCGAGTCTGTTAAGACAGGAACAAGTGTGTGTTTCGCGCGGCGAGTACAAAAGTGGCAGCGAGTGGGGGAGCATTAGATGTAAAGTACACGTGGAAAAAAGGCACGTAACCCAAGAAGCAATCGCGACAGTGAGCGTGGGGGGCTGTGATTGCGTCGTTGTCCTTTAGCTCCAACCGCTAATGGCCTTGGATCTCGTTATCGCCACGTCATTTATAAAATTAATATATGGCATAATATTTAAATGATCACTCAACTTTTAAGGTGTTATCAATTTAACACACGAGTAAAAATTTTATGGTCACCTTTACAAAACAAATCGTGCGATTAAGTCACCTAGTGTGCATGCACTATCAATTTAATTATATCTAATATAATAAAGTTTCATTTTAATCCCATTCGTTAAATCCCATACCCTTTCCAATAAAATAGTTACACATATGATCATTTAATGATCACAAAATAAAAAGAAAATTCATCTCCTAGTTTTAGTATCAAACCAATGTCCATGTACCAATTGTACTAAATTAATATTTTTTATTGTGAAGTTGATAATAAGCCGTTTGAAGATTTAAACTCGAATAATTACGTCTGTAGAACGAGAAGCTAGTAGCGTAGCTGACGCCCAAGCTCACATCCATTGCTCTACTTCGGCCGTCATCGTAGTTCTCCCTCACCCGTCATATGAGATCCAACGACTCCTCCAGTCTGATTTAAATAACTGAAGCAAACTGCTTAAGCGCCGCTAATTCAGCTTTTCATCTTTGTTAAAAAAAAAACACAAACACACACTTTGATTCACCTTCAACCTTTATGCAAATTACTTGGCTGGTCCTCGGATTTTATTTTTTGTTTAAATATATTATCTGTGGATCATTTTAATGTTTTAGGTCTTTTTAAGTTTCAAACAGAACAACAGGGAATGGTTAAATTTAAAATCTTATTTCGAAAGCATCGAATTAGAATTTTAAATTAAAGTAATCAAGAACGATTATGCTTCATTAAACAATTTATTGTCTGATTTGAAGGATTTAGACCTTACTGATGACATGACCTCTGATAGAAAATTATGGAGACTTAATATCATAGTAGCAGAGTAGTGTGGGTCACATCTATAGGGTGTGTCATCTCTGTCTTCTTTTAATGCATTTATAATAATTTTCATGACTTTTACTTTTTATATGTTTCTGTCATTTGAATTTATGAAGGCTTAGAACTAGGATAGCGGAGTAGTGTTACCTTAGTTTAGGTTTTATCCATTGACTTTTATTCCTTCTCGTAGCTTGCTAACGTTGATTACTGTGTATCCTTCTCTTCATGTTTTCTATTTTCAAGTTTAGTCGGGTCTTACGGGTCTGTCTATATACAGAGATTTTTTAAGCAGGGATTTATTTACAAGGAGTACTTCCCAATACAAACGCGCATATGAAGACTGCATATGAAAACTATTCAACTATGTATTTCTTTATTTATTTATACATGCATTGTATTTTATCTTTATTTTAATTTTTGATTTCCGAAGGTCTTCCACGAAAATTGCTCTCAATCATACGTTGAGGACAATCTACTACCCTACCTCCCCTTACCCCATTGCTTATGGGAATACAATTTTGTTGTTGTTGTAAACAATTTATTGTCACTAAAGACACTGTTTTCTATATTCAGTGGCCAACATTGTCAACTTGCATGTGAATATTTAAACAATTAAATTACATATTAAATAGTTAAAATTATTTTAATTGGTTTCAAAAAATTTCTAAATTTGTATTTAAATAATCAACGACACAGCAAAAACAAAACTTAAAGCAAGGCAATACCTTATTTTATTAAAAATAAATCTTAGTACGCCAGAATTCTTTATTCTATAGGGCCTGTTTAAAGTATAATAAGACTAATCCCTATTTTATCATAATATTTTATTATTCCAATAAAATAACAATAAAAGCATGTTTCTTTGGCTTTTACGATTCTTTGTGTTCTGAATTTAATAATTAAATAATATTAAACCCTAGAAAGAGAAATCCACTTTCTTTCCACTGTGCAGAGTTAAATATTAAATTAAATAAAATATTGGTAGACGTCTTAAGTAAAATAATATTTAAAATCAAAGTTTATGGAGAAAAAAATCCACCTCGTCATCAACTCTGTTATATTGGTTTTTAATTGCCCTCTAATCCACGTGAATGTAGTACGCTGTTTGATCGAGACAAGTGCTTTGGGTCCATTTAAAAAATAATAAATTATTAATAAAAAAATTAATTTAAGGATTACTCTTGTTATTACAGTAAATTTAATTTATCATTTTTGTTTCTATTATATTTTCACATCAATTTAATCTTTTAAATTACTTAATCATGTCAATATTTAAATTTTTACTATCGCACAGGATTTTAAGATAGAGTTTAAGGTTTAAAAGTTGAGTGACTATGGTTTAGGGTTTAACAATTATTTTTTTAAGTTAGTGTTAGGTATAAGATAATGAAATTAAATAATTTTAGGACTAAATTATTGTGAAAATACAGTAAATGTTAAAATTATAAATTAGGTATACTCCGGGAAAAAACAACTCCTAAACCTAAAAAATTATATGACATGCATATCATTAAAATAATTAGTATTCAATTTCGGGTCAATATTGGGTCGGGTCAATACCATATTGGTTGATTTTTTAGTCGGGTTAATATTGAATCGATTAGATTTCAGGTCGGGTCAATATCGGATCGGTTGATTTTTTCGTTTAGGTGAACCTTTAAATCAAGCCAATTTGGATTAAAATGGTTATGAGTCTAATCAAAATATGTATTCTTATTTGTTAATTTTATCATTTATAGTTTAATAACTTTTATCAATTTAAATATGTTCGAG